CTTTAGATGTTCAGGTTGACTTCTAGGCCAGGGTCTCCATCCTATTCCCCTGATCTACGTACCTTTTTAAATATCAGTACTGTGCTGTTTTAGTCTCTGTAGCTTTGTTATATATTTTAAAGTCGGGTTGTGCAATGCCTTCCCACTCAAGATTGACTCTGTTATTTGGAGCGTTTTGTGGCTCCAGACAAATTTTAGTGTTTCTTTTTCTAGTTCTATGGTAAATGCCATTGGTATTTTGATGTAGCTTGCATTGACTCTAAATCTCATTGAGAAATTTGGGCCTTTTAACAATATTGACTCTTCCAGTGCAAGAACACAGGATGCTTTTCCATTTCTCTGTGTCTTCTTCCGTCTCACTCATCACTGGTTATAGTTCCATAGTAACGTCTCTCGATGCCTTGGTTAGCTTTGTTCCTGGGCATTGGGTTTTCACGGAGCTGTTGGAAATGGGATTGCACTCTTGGCTTTTCCAGAGAATCTGCTATTGGTGTGCAAGAATGCTACTGACATTTCACATTGACTTTGTATCCTGCAACTTTGCCGAATGTGTTTCTTAGTTCTGACAGCTTTGTGGTGTCCCTGGGGGAGAGGGGGTGGTTTCTGTGTAGACAGGGAGATAGATGATTGATCAATCGATCTGACAATCAGATCTGTTACCTGATGACAGTCACAATGTGACTTTCGCCTTCCTGATTTGGACTCTCTCTTTCTCCCTCTCTCTCTCTCTCTCTCTCTCTCTCTCTCACCTAACTGCTGTGATTGCTCTCGCGGGGTTTTCCAATTCTGTATTAAATGAAACAGTGAAACTGAGAATACTTGTCTTGTGGGCCAGCTCTGTGGCTCACTTGGTTGGTCCTCTGCCTACGGTGCCAGCATCCCATATGGGCACCCAGGTTCTAGTCCCAGTTGCTCCTCTTCCAGTCCAGCTCTCTGCTGTGGCCCGGGAGTGCAGTGGAGGATGGCCCAAGTGCTTGGGCCCTGCACCCCATGGGAGATCAGGAGAAGCACCTGGCTCCTGCCATCAGATCAGCGCAGTGAGCCGGCCATAACGGCCATTTGGGGGGTGAACCGATGGAAGGAAGACCTTTCTCTCTGTCTCTCTCTGTCTAACTCTATCTGTCAAATAAAAAAAAAAAAAAAGAATACTTGTCTTGTTCCAGATCTTACAAAGTTTTTGGCTTTCCCCAAGTCCACACGATATTAGCGGTTGGCTTGTACGTATTTGATTTCTGTTGTGCGGGGGTGTGTCCCCACGACACCTACGCTGCTCCGTGTGTCATGCAGGGCTGCCAGATTTCCGCAGATCCTGTCTGTGTCTGCTGGATGGTCCTGCGGTCCTGCAGGGCCTGCATCCCGCCGATGTGGCGAATCCTGTTGATTGATCTGGGTGCTGCTTCCTCCTCGCGTCCCTGGTCACGGCGAGCGGTGCGTTTGCTGTGCTGTTGGGTCTGGTTTGCTGAGATTCTGGTGAGGATCTTGTGGCTGTGTGCCAGTGCGCCGGGCCTGAGCGGCCCTCGCTTGCCGTGTCTTCGTCTGGTTTCGATGTCAAGGTAATGACGTCCTCATATAACGAGTTTGGTAGAATCCCCTCCTTCTCTGTGTTTCAGAATAATTTGTGACGAATTGGTGCCATTCTTCTTCAAATGTTAGAATCGCGCACCGGGGCATCTGGCCCTGAGTTCTGATGGGCAGCTTTTTGTTACCGACTCACACTCACTGCTGGTCACTCTTCCACGTGGCCTTCTGTTCCCTCGTGCTTTGTCCAGGAAACCGTGTGTGTCCAGGGTTTGCCCATCGCTTCCACGTATCAGATTTATCACTGTATCATTGTTCACCGTGATCGCCAGCAGCCTTCGTGTTTCTGCTGAGTCACTGGAAACATCGTTCAGAGATCCCTGCTTGGTCATGCTTGATATTCTCTCATTAAAGGCGTAACTTGTACTATTTGAGTGTATAATAGTTATTCAATGTTGTCAATTTTTGCCTTTATTCTAGGTTTTGTTTTAAATCCCTGGGTTTCAGATGCACGTTTTTTATGCCTTTGCATGTGGACTCCATTTTCACTGTGACTTTATGGATGAATTTCCTGTATTAATATCATTAATAATTACATTAAAACGTGTCAGAATACTATTATTGAAACCTTATTTCCTATTTATTCGCCCTTTTCCTTTCTAGTTTATGATTACAAACTAGTTCTATCTTTAAGGATACGCCTTCATCTGCTACCTAAATTAAAAATCACGTCATTATTTATGCTACCAAAGTTCCCCCCACCCCGTGAACTTCACCCCACAGCTCTCCCCTTCTGGTGATGACGATGAGATGTCACCTGAGACTCCTTGTCACCTGAGACTGTGTCCGGTCCTCCGCAAGCTTCACTCGCCCTCTGCCATCCACACTGCTTTCTGACCACTCGTCACATCGCGGGAGATGGCAGGGTCCTGCCCACGTCACCCACCCCCGCCCCACTGCCCCAGGTGCTCTCCCCCACAGCCCTGCTGCCCCGGGTGTTCTCCCCCCCAGCCCCACTACCCCGGGTGTTCTCCCCCCCAGCCCCACTGCCCCGGGTGTTCTCCCCCCAGCCCCACTGCCCGGGTGTTCTCCCCCCAAGCCCCACTACCCCGGGTGTTCTCCCCCCCAAGCCCCACTACCCCGGGTGTTCTCCCCCCCCAGCCCCACTACCCCGGGTGTTCTCCCCCCCCAGCCCCACTGCCCCCAGGTGTTCTCCCCCCCAGCCCCGCTGCCCGGGTGTTCTCCCACCCCCGCCCACTGCCCCGGGTGTTCTCCGTGGACGTGGAGACGGAACACTGAGCCCAAGAACAGGGCGTCCCCCCCACGCTCTCTTCCTTTTCTCCCAGTCCTACCCCAGCTCGCTACTGCCCCAGCTCCGAAGAGCCGCAGCCAGCGATCCTCACGTCTGCACAGCCCCAAATGTGTTCACTGCCCGGCCAAGTGCAGGCCTCAGCCAGCTCAGGTCCGCAGGCTTCACAGCCCTTGGGCAGGGGAAGATGGCAGGGGCGTGGAGAGACCGCTCCGTGGCTGTCTCGCACCGACACTGGTGTTACCCCACGCTCCCGGTCTCCGTGCGAGCAGCAGGATCCTGCACCCTGGCCGGCACCCGGACAAGCTCAGGAGCTGTGAGCTCCGTCCCCCTCCCCCGCCCCCTGGCACGCTTCCTGCTCAAAGGCCCGGGCCTAGCTCTGAAAGTCTTCGCGATTGAAATCCCCAGGGCGTGCGAGAGGCAAAGAGGAAGCTGGGCCCTGAACACTGAGACGCGGGGTCGGTGGGGGCAGCTGGCACTGGCCCAGGAGGCGGCCAGGGACAGGGGGCGCCTGTGTGAGAGTCGGGCTTTGAACAACCAACAAAGAGTCAGGGAGAGCGAGGGGGGTGACGGAGCCCGGGAGGAAGTGGGCCGAGGGCGGCCACGCCTCTCCCCGCCTCTGCCTCCCACCCGGCTGGCACCTTGGCCTCCTCGGTGTGCGAGGGGCTTCCTCCCTGCCCCACCCACCCCACGCTTGCTGACTCAGTGCGCCCCGCGCCCCGTAGGTCTTCCTGTTTATGCTGTCGCTTTGTTTTACGACTTATTTTTAGCCTTGGTTTGGGGAGCTTTTCTTCGCTGGGCATTGGCAGAGAATCAACGCCATTGCTCTGGGCTCTGAAAAGCTCACTGTACAGGCCTGGCTCGGGGCCCTGTGGAGACAGAGGCCCAGTGTGAGCCGCCTCCCGCTGCCTCGTCACCCATCCGGCCAGCCCGGGGCCTGGCGGCATCTGCAGGCCGGCCAGGGCGGCGTTGGTGACCGCCACACACACGAGGGACCCGAGACCTCACCTGGCCCGGCCCCGTCCTCTGGAGTGGAGAAGCTGAGACGCAGAGGGAGCAAACGCTGGACGTCGTGCACTGAGGGACAGGGCCAGACCACTACCTGGACACGCTTCCTGTGGGGGCAGCGCTCCGTCCTGCACCCGAGGGAACTGAACCCTGATTCCCGGATCCCAAGATGGGGCGCCCGCGGGCCCGTCCCATGCTGACCCTTTCCAGGCTCTGGGGCTGGGCCGGGCGTGCACTCATGGGGCTGACGCGGCACAGGCTGCTCCGGTGGCCGCTCCGCCCACAGCGGCTGCTCACTCCCTCTCAGAAAGGCACAGATTATTTTTGCCAGCAGCCAGGAGCAGCAAACTGCGGGATTTCACACTCCGGGCTGCATCAGCTCCCCAGGCGGCCAGGGCCTTGCCGAGACAGACGCCAACCCAGAACCAGAGGCGTGCGAGCACCAGGCCGAGTGTTCTCTGCTGGTGGAAGTCACCGCTCTGCCTTCCTAAGCCCCTGTTTAATCAGAGACGCCCGGGCGAATGCTAATGCAGGGGCCCGGACGGACGTCCTGCGGGGGAAGCAAGGCCCTTTTCTGACCTCTACCGGCCACTTGGAGAAAAGGACAGGCCAGGAAGGGCTTGCCCGGGGCGTCCTGGTCGCCTGGTCCGGCCGCAGCCCGCCCACATGTGCCCCGCTTCCCACTGTGCTGGCATCCCTGTGTAAGGAGCTACTGAGGCAACGGGGAGGGGTCCCTCCCGGGAGACCCCTGCCATGGAGAGGGAGAGCACCCGCATCTGCCGGAGCCCTGGCAGCTCGGCCCAGTGCCGCACCTGCAGGCTTAGCAGTGGGTGAACTCGTCTTTGTCCTCTGTGACTGACGTGGAGGGGGGTGGGGGGGGGACGGAAAAGGGCACAGGCAGCACCGAGGCCAGAAGCCGAGGTAGGGCTTGGGCGGGAGGCCAGGGGACACAGAGCTGACCTCCTGGGGGAGGCCACGGAGGGGATGAAACTCACGGGTGGGGCTGAGCAGGCCGCTTCCCAGGGCCTCACGTGACATTCTCGATGTGTCCAGAGAGGAGCCCAGCGCGGCGCACCTGGGTGGACCCGGCCCAGCCTCAGCGCTGGGTTCTCTCTGCATTCTATCTGTAGGGCAGTGGACAGGAGGGAAGCCACAGGAAGAGGAATGGCTGTCCGTGGGAATCCTGCAGGGCCCTCAGGTGGCGCCTGAGCTTGGGGATGCCGTGTGTCCCCGTTTATTCATGTCTGTGATCAAGTTCATTGACAAATAACACAGTGAGAGATGGACAAGGATAGTACAATAGAAGAATTCTAGAACATACTCTAAGAAGTTATCTAAGACTTATGAATTGTGTCTAGAGTTTTCCAGTTAATATTTCAGGGCACACATTGGAATCTGCAGGAGCTAACGGGGGGCTCAGCCCTGAGGGACTCCTGGCTGCCACCCAGGGGAGCCATAGCCAGGAAGAAAGGCAGTGCAGTGAGCAGAGCAAGGCCGTGGCTCACGCAGGACCACACGGGGCTCCGTGCCCGCTGTGCGGATCCAGGAGCCAGCCTCGGGCGGCCAGCCGTGCATCAGGCACACAGAGAGACAGGGAGGTGCAGAGGTCCCTGGACACGGACGGTCAGGCTCAGGAAGGTGGGGCAGAGGGGTTGGCAGGACAGACGCAGTGCAGCCTGGCTTCGAACCCGTGGCCTTGGGCGAGCGGGAGTCTCCGCAGAAAGGTGCGGCAGGAGCGACCGGCAGCGGAGCCAGCACAACGCACGGCCTGGGGGCTGGGTGTCCACTGTGAAGACAGACACGTTCCTCGAGGAGTTTGGGGGTCAGGCTGCCCGTGCTGCAGCCTGGGTCCTGCCCCAGACCAGCCCTCACCTACTCCCTGCCCCGGCATCCCCACCCACAAAGTGAAATGAGCAAAGCCCAGGCTGGAGTGCGCGCACACGCACTGGCCTTGCAGGGTCACAGGCCACCAGCAGCCACGGCCCACTGTCAGGCACTGCTCGTGTCCCCGCCCTGGGGAACGGGATGCAGCCCCGGCTGGGACACACGACTGCCCCGGGAACACACCCGGCTCCTTCGTTTCCTGTGAGCACTCCTGTAAGAAGGGCTGAGCTCCATGTTGTCGCGGGCAGCGACGGGCAGAGGTGAACAGGGGCCCTGCGTAGCTCACGGCAGCAGGATCGCAGGCCGATTCTCCATGCCCGACGTCACCTAAGCTAACCTCCTGCTCAGACCAAGGCGTGCCGGGCCTGGATGACCCATCTGTCCAAGGACATTCTGAGCTGGACGGCAGGTCTGCCAGGCCCGGGCCTCAGCCGTCGGTGCTGCAGCCAGCACAGAGCTGACTTCAGTGTCAAGTCCACGTCCTTCCCCGCCAGAGACCCAGCCAGTGCGGACACCTCGCTGCATTCCTGCCCATTCTGATCCTTTTGTCAGGGGAGCCCTAACCCTGTCTGACTACTGCAGGCCCTAGAGAACACGGACACTCGTGGAGACCCTGGAGAGCTGTGCAAGGCTGTCCTTTGTGTCTGCCTGTCACAGCACCCGCTGGGAGGGCTGAGGCCCCCACATTTTTGTGTTCTCTTCCGCGGAGGGCAGAGCCTTACTCCTGAGTGACGCAGAGGCCTGGGGTAGGCATGGGCCTGGGGGCCGGTGTGCATCGCGTGCTGGTGAGACGGGGGCTGCTTCTTCCACCCGCGGCCTCCACGCGGCTCCACGCAGCATAATTGTCTCACGTCATCCCAGCACCGACTGCCTGCGCAAGCAGGGCCTGGTCATGGGCCCTCTATCACCCTTGTTCTGCGACAAGCCCCAGACAGGCTTTCAGAGTGTGAGTGTGAGTGTGTGTGTGTGTGCACACGTGCACAAGCCCGGGTGTGGCCGGCACCTCCAGCGCAGTTCCAGCCTCCTGGCGCTGGGCTGGGATGGGCGCGGTGGAAGATGCTACGTCACAGACGATTCATAGCTGTGTTGCTGCGCGCCGCAGGCGGTCATACCATCCACTGTTATCTGCGAATCGCTCTCCACTCTCCTCTTCTGCACGGAGCCAACATGGTGATCCTAATCAGAGCCAGAGGAGGAAGGTGTCTGGGTCTCAGAGTCACAGAGAGCAGAGAGCCCTGTGGCCAGGTGTGGGGCTGTGTGTGAGTGCGTATGTGTGTGCACACGTGTGTGTACGTAGATGTGTGTGGGTTTGAGTGAGTGAGCATGTGTGTGAGTGCTGAACACGGACCTGTGTGTGTGTGAGTGCTGAATGTGTACCTCTATGTGTGCATGTGTGTGCATGTGTGTGTGTGTGTGTGTGCGTGTGTGTGTGTGTGTGTGTGGCCACAGGAAGTGAGTCTGTGCAGTGCACGCCCCCGTGTGTGTGTGTGCGTGTGTGTGTGCGTGTGTGTGACCATGGGAGCTGGGTCTGTGCAGTGCACCCCCGTGTGTCTATGCACCCCTGTGTGTGTGCGTGTGTGTGTGTGACCACAGGAGCTGGGTCTGTGCAGTGCACCCCCGTGTGTGTGTGTATGCACCCCCGTGTGTCTATGCACCCCCGTGTGTGTGTATGCACCCCTGTGTGTGTGTGTGTGTGTGACCACGGGAGCCGGGTCTGCAGTGCACAGAGCCCGCAGCTCGGCGTCCACTCCACTGCACCCGCGCTGGGCCAGCCGTGGCAGGGCCTCCCGGTTGCTCCAGCCCCCGCTTGCTCGGTGGTGACCTCTGTGGACAGCGACGCCCAGGTTCACCTCTGCCTGCAATCCGAGCTTCTCCTTCCAGCCGGGCGCCTCCGTGACGGCCCTGCCTGCAGCTGCCCGTGCCCGGGGCGGGTCTCTGGCCGGTGGGATCAAATTCTTTCTGAGGAGGGGGACGGGCTCTCCTTTTTCTTCTTACCCATGTCTGGGATGCAGTCACAAAGGCTGACGCTCTAGCAACCACACTTGACCAAGAGGAAAAACAAAACTGTAGGGCGTCAGAGCGGGGGAGCCGGTCTCACATTGTGGCCACAGTACCAGCCTGGCTCGCCCACACCTAATGTCCCCACGCAACGGTTAGACTTGCACCGTATGAAAGCTACTGTCGTTTGGAATTTTCCACTTCTCAGAGCCAAAGCTCATCCTAACTAAACACTCATGGCCTCTTCTCCTATGTCCCAGTCTGCGCCTGCCTCCCACGGTGCCCCTCATCCCATCCGCTCGGCCTGTGCCCCTCGGAAAAGGCCAGTCCCCGTCCTCGCTGGTGTCAGCCTTCCGGAGCTCCTGGGCTGTGCTCCTGCGTCACCTCCTCCCCAGGGAGGGGGAAGCTGCCCAGTGTGTGCCGTCACAGTGCTGACCATGCCTGTGTGGAGGGAAACACACGGCTGCCGTGGTCTACCACGTGGCCAGCCACACAGGTCAGCCTGCCGGCACAGCACGTCTTTCCAGGAGATAAGCTCGCCACGGTCATGTGTCTACCAACACTGGAGTCTGGGGGAGACTTCACCACACACACACAGGCCTGGAGCGGATCTGGGGCCTCTCGCGGCCACGGAGCCGAGGGGGATGCCTGTGGTGGCGCAGCGGCACAGCCCTTCACGGCCAACGTCCGGCACCTGCAGACGGGCTGGGCCCCTCGGGGCCTCAGGGAGCTCACAGCTGGTGCTGGGAGCCCAGGTGCCACGGGGCCAGAGGACGGCGGACGACAGTCTAGAACTGTCAACAGCAGAGCAATCCAGAATTCTGGCCGAGGGGCCGGGGAGGGACCCCAACTCCGTTTCCTGTCTCAAGGGCAAGGGCAGGGGGTGGGGACCTCAGAACGCGTGAGAGGAGCCGGCAACCCTGGGGTCCCCAGCAAGCTCCAACCTAAGCACAAAGCGCGATGCCACAGGGACGGAGCAGCCAGGCTGTGGGCAGAGAAACCGGAAGGAGCGGGAGGGGGTGCTGAGCGCTCGGCAAGGCTCTGCCGACGTGGACGGTGCGCGCGTGGACGGCGGGGAGCGGTGCCGCACAGCTCCGTGCGCGCAGGCTACGGGATGCCTTTTCTTCTCCACTCTGCATCCTCCTGCTCCGCTTGGGCTCCCTCGTCCGCGTCGAAGGCACAGGCCTGGATCTGCCGGTCGAGCTCAGCGAAGCTGGCGTCCGGGTCTGCGCCGCTGCCCACGCTGTACTCGACCTCCTCCGCACAGGGGGGCTCGTCCTCCAGCTCTGCGGTGCTGCTGCCCGTGCTGCACCTGCCAAGGGTTCCAGAAATCACGGGGAAGGGGGCGGGCGCAGAGGAGGAGACAGGGAGGAGAGGAAGAAGTCAGTGCTGGAGAGGAGGGCGCGCGTCCAGACTTGCTGCTGCTGCAAGCGCATTGTACACACACCGCCTGCGCCCCCAGCCACTGCCGGGAGACGGAGAGGGAATCAGAGAAAACACGAGCTGCATTGCTCCGTGCTGGCAGGGCCTGCGTCTCTGAGCCTGTCTGGGACGCCCCGAGGACCAGGGCAGTCTCACATAGTGAGACGCCGCGTTCAGCCCACGTGAGCAGTCTGACAGCCATCGCGCTTCTGGGCGCGTGAGGACGCCCGGCCACCTCCTCCCGGGGAGGGCGGCCTGGACGCTGATGAGGTGGAACTCAAAGCCCCAGCGGCTCGCCCGGGAGCCTTGCGTCCTCCGCTGCGTCACGAGAATGCTTTCCCGGAGCTGGGAAGTGGCTTAGGCTGGGATGGATACCCTCAGAGCCCACCCTGGGCGCCCCCCCCCAGCCCTGCTCCAACGCCGTCTCCCGGGGTGGGGGGGTCCACGGGGGCTGGCCAGGCGGAGACAGGCAGGGGCAGCAGGGAGAAGTCTGCCCCGTGTGGTGAGCACTTCCCCTGGCTGAGCGAGGGCCCTTTCTCCTGGCAGCTCAGCGCTGCCTGCACAGGACTTAGCCAGTTAGGAGGAACAGCACGCCCGCAAGCACTTCATAAACCGGCAGCGCTGTCATCCACCTGCCTGGCCAGCGACAGCGGAAACGGGTCATCAGTGACACGCCGGCCGGCTCGCGGATCAGCGGCCCTTCCCTAACCGCATGCTGCCGACCACGGACCGCCCCAGCTCTGCTGGCCCTCGGGGCCCCACAGAACCTGGGCTGGAGGGCAGAGAGTTTGGTTGGGCAGAGAAGAGAGCCCATGTGGCCCAGGTGCACCGCGCCCACACCAGGCACGCAGCGCCGACGCCATGCGGTGAGCCTGACTCAACTATGCAAGGGCCTCTGCGTCCCACAGCATGGCGAGGCCAGCGCCCTGACAGGCACAGCATCCTGGGGGGAGACACGCGATGTCACCCAGCGACACGCCCAGAGCAGGCGCCACGTCTTCACGCCCTTGCTCTGCTGTGGATCCCCGGCAGGGAGTGACGTGCCGGGGGAAGGAGAGGCCACACCGGGCTCCGCTGCTCTGGCTACTGCCAACACCACAAACCGTCCTGTTCACCGCGCCCACAACACAGTGCTCATCGTGCCGCCTCCCGGTCTGGAGCTGCCGAGGGTTCTCCCTCCCGCTGCTGCCAGGGCTCGGGGCAGGGCTGGCAGAGACGTCCCTGCAGGCCTGGGCTGACGGGAGCCCGTCAGGGAACGAGCAGGTCGGCCTTGCCGGGCTAAGGCCCAGCCCTTCCTCCTGTGCCGTCAGCTCTGTTCTCGGATGTTCCCGCCGCCGTCGAGCTGCCAAGATTACCCCGTGGTGGTCCCTCTCTCCAGACAGCCCGTGGTCCCTGAGGGTGCCCAGGAAGGAGAGATGGCTGAGAAGGGGCTGGGACTTGCATTCCCTGGGGACTAACCGCCCCCTTCGCTGTCCACGCAGTGAGATGATCTGGGAGCTGACGTCTACCCAGAGCTGTGCGTCCTCAGACCTGGCCCTGCCCGTGTGGGGACGGCAGCAATGGGGCGCTCTGCCTCCGCAGCCGCCGTGGGCAGCTGGACACCAGCACACCAGCAGGCGCGGGAGGCCCTGGCCACTCGGACACAGAGAACGCCTCCCAGGACCCCAGACGTGGGCGGAGGAGTCACTAAGATGACAAAAGGCAGCATAAGGGAGATCTTTGTGGCCGTGGCCTAGCTTAGTGTTCATGCAAAGCTACACGCGTGACACTGCACATCGGTGTCACACACACGCCTCACAGCAGTGTCAGCTCCCTGGCTTAGGACACACGTGACACACACATGGAGTCCCACGCACGCATCACACAGTGTCGGCTCCCCCCTTCAGGACACATGTGATGCACACATGGGGCACACACACACCTCACAGCAGGGTCAGTTCCCTGGCTCAGCACGCATGTGACGCACACACAGGTCACACGTACGCCTCACGCAGTGCCGGCTCCCGGCTTCAGCCTCACACCACGTTGGCGTGAGCTGAGCCTCAGGGCAGAGGGGAAGAGGACTGACGGTTTCTATGACTTTCTTGGGATCCACAGTGACTTCAAAAGCTAAAATTGCAAAAAGTTAAGTTTAACAGTACAAATGTCAAAAGTGAAAACTTTCAAAGAGTTGAAGACCCGCAGTCTGCATGTCCGTAGCCGAGTATGACGATGGCCAGGTCCCAGCTGCAGAATCGCAGACCGGCCGCCGGGACAGAGTGAGCGCTCTGCACAGCCAGCCCACGCCCGAACCCAGCGGGATTTTGCATGTTTAAAGTTTTATTTATGTTTTTGTTTATTTGAAAGGTAGAGTGACACACATGGGAAGGATAGAGAAAGAGAGGGAGAGAGAGAGACAGACAGAGACAGACAGACAGACAGACAGAGACAGAGAGAGAGACAGAGAGAGGGAGCGCAACACCAGGTCTGGGCCACACCGAAGCCAGGAGCCTGTAACTTCATGGGGCCTTGGTCGTGGGTGGCAGGGACTCACTGCTGCCTCCCAGGGTGTGCACTAGTGGGACGCGGAGCAGGGACTGGAACCCCAGCACTGAGACGGGATGCAGGCCCCCAGGTGCTTCTCAACAGTGTCAAGGCCCCGCCCCTTCCATTTTCACTGTGATCAGCTGACCACAGGGCACTCCGCCCTGCCCTTCCCCTCACTTGCTGGCTGTGTCTTCTCACTGTCTTTCTTAAAAAAAATTATTTATTTGAAAGACAAAGTTACAGAGAGACAGAGGCACAGAGAGAGAGAGAGAGAGAGACCTTCCATCCGCTGATTCACTCCCCAAATGGCCACAACATGTGGGTACAGGGACCCAAGCACTTGGGCCAACTTCCACTGCTTTCCCAGGCACATTGGCGGGTAGCTGGATCAGAAGTGGAGCAGCCGGGACTAGAACCAGCACCGCAGGTGGCAGCTTTACACACTACGCCACAGCGCCAGCCCCCTCATTATCTCTTGAAGGTCTTTGCCTCTGCCCGAATCTCCATCACCTCTTTCCTGCTTCAGCTCATCAGCCACCTCCGTGAGCTTCTCCATCTCCCTTGCTCAGAGCCCTCCAGCCACACACAGAGGCACCCGCAGCACCTGCACGGCTGCCCGCACCTGGGCCGCCGGGCTCCGAGGCGCGTGTGCACCTGCCCAGGCAGTCGTCCCCCAGCTGTCTGTCAGCGTGTGCTGGGCAGTGGCTCCTGTCAGTCTCCCTCGTGGCCCCTGGAATCAGGTGCAGACTGCAGCGCCCCACCTCTGGGCTCCCCCGACTCCCTGGGCGGCCCCTCTCCTGCCCTTGGGGCTCAGCATCCTCCCAGCTGTCACCTCCTTGTGGACGGCCCTGCAGTCCGAGCTGTCGCTGCCAGGCACGCAGCGGGTGAGCAGGGAGCTGCAGGATGGCTGGGCCCCGCCTTGCTCCTAAGGGAGAAATCATTCTCCTTTGACGTCAGGAGGGGGACAGCGATGAGGAAGTCACATCATTCGTGTTGGAGTTTGCAGGTCGGATTCTTTCCGGGATTTCTGCTGTTTTGTCAGGATCTAAAAATTAACTCCAGTAAATATCTATCGGGAAGCCGAGGCATATCCTCCCACGTCTTTCCAGCTTTGTTTTGTTTTGTTTCCTGTAACCACAGCCTGATCTGTGATCCAGACAGCTGGCGAGGTGAGCTGAATCTAAAATATATTTTGCTACATTCAAAAAATGAAATAAATAATTGGTGCATTTGAACAATCTCTGCTCCCTTTCAGCCCGCACAGAAATAGGATCAAAAGCAAAACACTGGGATGAAGAAAATCTTCAAAATCCACGCTAAGCCACCCTGCACTGCTCCCCGCGTCGGCACCCGTCTGACACGGCTCCAGCCGCGCCGGGGTGCTGAGCCCCTCAGAGGCCGCTGAGCCGAGCTGCACGTCGTGCCGGGCGGCGCCCACGCGGTCTGCTCCGGACATCTCCCAGAGGTGCCTTTTCCAGACTGTCAGGCCCAACCTCCCCAGCTGGCTCAGCCGAGAACGGTGCAGACGGCCAGTGTGCGTGTCTGACCCACGGACTCCGCCAGTAACCCCAGCGTCCAGCGGGAGCCGAAACACACAAAGACGGTTCCGTGGAGTGTCCGATGGAAGGCACAGTGGTGTCACAAGGCGCGCCCCAGGGTCTAAGACGGACAGTGTGTGCTGAAGAGAGTCCCTGACTCCGCCCTGAGGTTGCACCTGCAGTTCCCTGCTGCCGGCACCCAGGCCCACGTCTGCCCCCCACGCCCTGCTCCTGTTTCTTCCCAACTGCTCTGCTTCTTGGGAACAGAAATGCACTGGATTCACGTCCGACTCAGGTAGCGCGTCATCCCTTGATCACGTACATCATCGTGTCCCCGACCCCTCCCTTGATCACGTACGTCAGCGTGTCCCCGACCCCTCCCCTAATCACGTACATCAGCGTGTCCCCGACCCCTCCCGTGAATCCGGACCCTGGGATGGAATCCACTGACCCACTTGATCTCCACCTGCAGAGTTCTCCCATGACTCCAGCCTGTGCCCAAACAAGCCCAGGACATAGGCCCTGCTCCCGGCAGCCCCTGCAGCGGGGCCCTCGGGCCCGGCACTGTGCACGGGTGGGGCCGATGACTCCTGGTGCACGGTCTGTCCTGGGCTGCAGTCCTTTCGGCAGAACCTGCCGCCTCTGCCAACCTCTGGCACGAGATGGCAAGGCCCAGCCCCCCCCTCCCCGGTGACAGCTGAGCACACCTGCTGATGAGGCCAGGCGCCCCCAGGCTGAGGACCAGTGGGGTCAGTGCCAAACACCCAAGAAAGCTTCTGTGGGCTGACTGGGTGGAGGGCTCAGCCGCGGGAAGGGTGCAGAGGCC